GGCTGGCGCCTTAGCCGGTTGAGCTATAGGCGCCGAGCCTGATTTATTTATTTTTGAGACAGAATCTCACTATGTCGCCCTTGGTAGAATCCCATGGCATCATAGCTCACAGCAACCTCAAATTCTTGGGCTTAAGACATTCTCTTGCCTCAGCTTCCCAACTAGCTGGGACTACAGGCACCCATCACAAGGCCCGGCTATTTTTTGTTGCAGTTGTCATTGTTGTTTAGCTGGCCCGGGCCAGTTTCAAACCCATCAGCTTCTGTGTATGTGGTTGCCGCCGTAATCACTGTGCTACAGGCGCCAAGCCTAGACAACTATTTTAAATTGCACATGAACTTTATGGCCACCCTGTATTATGAGGTAATAACAAACAGGTAAATAATCACCATTTTATAGGAGAAGAATTTGAAACACCGAGAAAGTGACTTAATGTGGGTCATTTACACATGTGGTAGTCCAGTGACTGTTGTCTCGTTCCCTGTGCCCTCTTGGCTTTTTGTGACCTGAGTCCAGACTTGCTGAATTAGTTATTTGTTGCTGCATAATGATCTATCCTAAGATATAGTGGTTTAAAACAATGCATATTTATTGTGTCACAGTTTCTATGAATCAAGAGTCTGGGCATAGCTTAGCTGAGTTCTCCACTTCAGGTTTCTCGTGAGGTTGCAGTTGAGGTGTTGGGTGGGCTGGAATCTCATCTGAAGGTTAGACTGGGGAAAATATCCTTTTCTAAGCTCACATCACTGTGGGCAGCATTTAACATCTGTGAGTTTTTGAACTGCTGGCTATTGTAAGAAGTAGCCCTCCATTCCTTACCATGTGAGTCTCTCCTAAAGAGTATCTCACAAGGTGGCAATTTGCTTTACAAGACATGGTAGTCAGGTTCAGTGCCCGTAGCACAGTGGTTACACGGCCAGCCACATACACTAAGGGTGGCGAGTTTGAGCCCTGCCCAGACCAGCTTAAAAAAAAAAAAGAAAGACACGGTAGTCAAGAAGGCAATGGAAGAATCTTCTAAGAATAGCAGGAGGTGGGAGTCTTTGAGGACCAAGTTAGAGTATGCCACACCCACCTCCATTTGGCCCTGCAGACATTTCAAACTCACTGTGTCCCAAACTAAACTCCTATCAGTATACTCTCTTGCTCTTGCCCCAAACTAATTTCTCCCTCATTAGGCCCTATCTTGATAAATGGTACTACCAAGCCCTCGAAACCAGGAGTGCTCCCTTGTGGCCCACCTTTGGTCACTCAGTCCTGTCATTTCTATTAAATATTTATCTGGTCCACCTACTCTTCGTATTCCCGCTCCAACCTCCTGTTCAACCTTTTCCATTCACTACTGTGACAAGTAGGTCCTCTCTAGGGCTCCTGGCTTCTATTCTTTTCTCCACTCATACCAGACTGAAGGGATTATTTTAAACATGCAAATCTCATTATCTAAAAGTCATTTGTGTCAGATGTTCTTTGTGTCCACCTGCCCCACCACACCTCCTGTGCCACCTGATTTGAATGTGGCTCTAGCATACAGTTTGGTGCCCACTGCCAGCATCCCACCTGCG